GATTGTGTAAATAAATGTTCATTAAATTGTGCCCATGATTTACCTTATATTTTGATTAGAAATTTGGTAAGTAAATTAAAGTGAAATTGGTTCAGAAGATAAGTAAATTAATATAATTGATTATTATACGGAAAAGGTTGTGGGAACTAGCTTTAATTATTTCGTGCCTAGATGGGACCCACATGACTAGTGTTAGGGGTCCACAAATAGCTTAACACACATATTGGGTACTAACCTCGTGTTTACGGGTATCAACCTATTTCCATCATATAATCAGGTGCTACCCTCATTACACTTAGTAGTGCATATGTGACGCTAACTAGGATGACATGTCGCTCGACATGTTGCTTACCAATCTCTATTTTGTTTCTCTTCAGTAAGAGATGCATGGACCGTATGAGCACGAGAGGATGATATGAGCTAGGGGAAGTGCTTGTGATTGTTGTGCCAAAGAGGGGGCACATGTGCAAAAATCAAAGATGTTAAGTAAAAGTAAAAAAAAACATCAATAGTGTGACCTTCTATTATTTTGGACACAACCATGCCTTTTGAAAAACGACTTTTATCATTTCTTTTTTATTACATAAATCTAATCCAGTTTTACGGAAAATTTACGCATATGATTTTCATCTATCCAATCTAAAAACTAATTTTTTTAAGGCAAGCCACCTCATCAAAACATTCAAAAGGTGACAACTATAGGTGCCACGCCAATGGCTCACATTCCATGATGGACATTAAGACTAACGAAAGTAGATTTTTGGTACTTATTTAACGTGCCACAAACAACAACTATTTAAGGTGCGTAAAATACTTAGTTTAACCCAAGACTTACCCCAAGAGCAACAAGTGGTTGGATAGTTAGGAGGGTCATGGTATCCCAGGTTTGACACATTCTAGTCTCATTAATGTGGATTATTCTCTGAATGAAAGACGGCATTTCGGTTGATAGGCAGACACAACTCTGACCAGATCTTCATCAATTTCTAAAGAAAAGAACCTCTAATTCAATAGTATATGAGGATTATTCCGTGAGTGACCCTGTTGTTATCAAAGCGCAACTCCGGCTCAATCTTAAGTAGTACTCCCTCTGTAAATTAATATAAGAGTGTTTAGATCACTACTTTAGTGATCTAAATGCTCTTATATTAGTTTACGGAGGGAGTATTTTTCAAAGAAAAAACTATAGATCGATTTATGTAGATTATTCTTTCAGTGAGAGAGGCATTCCCGACGCTAGGGAGGAGCAACTTTGACCTGGTGTTTATCATAGTACTTAAAACAGCAAAGATGAAAAAAAAAACCTCTAAATCAAGCTTAGACGATTCATGCAGCGTTTGCACAAAATTACCCTGATCGGCCGATCCCCTTCCAATGGCTCGTTATACCATCCCATAACTTGCCCCATAGTAAAGCACTTGTCCAATTATACCAACCTACATTAACATAAAGCAATATACAGTGCATTTTGATCAAGACATGGCTATGAATCAAACGAAAGCGCAGCAATGTGTTGCCCAATCCGCAGGCAACTCAAATGAACCCCCTTCGCCACACGCGGAAATCTCGCGATCGCCCGACAAAATCACGGATGGAATTCACTTGCTTCCCGGGAAAAAGCGGGCCAGGTGCAAGGGCGGCACATGCCAGGTGTCGTGCAAGCAATCCGCTCGCCCCGCCCGTCCGTCCTCTCGCCGCTTCCCGTCTTCACTTCTTTATGCCGCTCGGTGCCAGCGGTGCGGCGGTGCGCGCCCCGAGCAGAGCTAGCTAGCTGATTTATTCGGCGCGGGAATGGTGCCCGGGGCCAGGACTCCGGCGGCGTCCGTGCTGCGTGGGCTCGTGGCGGTCGTCGGCGCGGCCGTCCTGTGTTTCTCCGGCGCCGCCGAGGCCCGCGTCCTCCTCACGCTCGACGACTTCGGCGCCGTCGGCGACGGCATTGCCAACGACACGCAGGTGACGCATATGTACACGCTCTCTGACAGATTGATTGTTACACGTCGATCGCCGTGGTTAATTATGCTCTGGGCGCGCTCTGTTTCGATGGGTGGTCAGGCGTTCGTGGACGCGTGGACGGCGGCGTGCGGCTCGGAGGAGCAGGCCGTGCTCGCCGTGCCCGTCGCCAAGGCCTACCGGATCTGGCCGGTGCAGCTCTCCGGCTCCTGCAAGAAGAAGCTCAAGCTGCTGGTACGTACGTGCGTTCCCCTGTGAACAGTTTCGCAGTCCCTTGTTCTCGCGTGCGTTTCTTGATGTTGCCGGCGGCGCTGGCCAGATTGCCGGGACGATCGTGGCGCCGGCGAGCCCCGACGAGTGGGCGGGGAGGGAGCCAATGAAGTGGCTGTACATCTACGGCGTGGACGGCCTGTCCGTGAGCGGCGGCGGCACCATCGACGGCGTCGGGCAGGAGTGGTGGGCGCGCTCCTGCAAGCGCAAGAAGACCCAGGTACCACGTCACTAGTAGCTACCAGTCGACCCGCCATCACCTGCCTCTCAACTCTTAGAGTGACACATGTATCTTGGTTTCCCGCAGCCCTGCAACACGCGGCCTCCTCCGAGGGTGAGTCGACGACCTGAATCTCGGTCTTGAACCGGCGGCGAGATTAATCTGATGGTTTTGGGATGCTGTTGTGTTGCAGGCGTTGCACTTCGAGGAGTGCAGGGGAGTGAGCGTGCAGGGCGTGACGCTGCAGAACGGGCCGCAGTTCCACCTGTCCTTCACGCGGTGCGTGGACGTGAAGGCCAACTTCCTCCGGGTGGTGGCGCCGGCGGACAGCCCCAACACCGACGGCATCCACCTCAACGACTCCTCCCGCATCCAGATCACGGACAACCTCATCTCCACGGGTACGTTGTCACCAGTATCGAGTGTGCCCTGTATGGCTGTATTCTCTGACCTCTCCCCGTCAGAGTCAGACCGCAACGCCTTAACATCATCCGCGCTTGCAAATCTTGTTGCAAAAGCGTTGCTTGCATTTCTTCTTCTTCTTCTGAAAGATAAGATCAAAGGTGGCGGCTGGTTGAACCTTGACCGAATACAATCTGACAAAATAGATAGCAGCCGCAGGCCGGGATACGAAGAATAATGACGTAAATGGATGTGAACTTGACAGCGAAATGCAGTTCGGTCCTACATTGCTGCCGATAATTAGATTTTTCTGTTCTGAAATTCAGATTCACACGCTTCATTTGCAGCACAGAGTTACATAGTGTAGCAGCATGATTGATTGATCTACACCAGTGTGGTCGCTTTGTATGCATCAGGGGACGACTGCGTGTCGATGGTCGGCAACTGCTCGGACGTCCGCGTAAGAGACATCTCGTGCGGGCCCGGCCACGGTATCAGGTACTACTACCACCGTGCAACACCTCTTTACTACTCACTGAACCCACTGAACCCAGCTGCTGCTAGAATTTAGTGTTGTGCAGCACTAACACGCAGCACGTTGTGCTGGTCAGCATCGGGAGCCTGGGCAAGAACCGGACCACGGACAGGGTCGAGAGCGTGAGGGTGGACACCTGCCTGCTCACCAACACCACCAATGGCGTCCGGATCAAGAGCTGGCAGGTAATAATTTAACAAAGACAAGAACAGTTTTGTTATAGAAATACTTCCTCCGTTCCAAATTGCTCATCGCAGAAATGGATATACTCCCTCTGTTCCAAATTACTCGTCGCAGAAATGGATGTATCTAGAACTAAAATACATCTTGATACATCCATACCTGTGACAAGTAATTCGGAACGGAGGGAGTACGTAGTAAAAACACTCTCACTGCAACATGTGCAACCAACTTGTGTCGTGTTGCTTCAGGGTGGGATGGGCTCTGCCCGCGATCTGAGGTTCGAGAGCATCGTGATGAAGAACGTGTCCAACCCCATCATCATCGACCAGTACTACTGCGACCAGCCGACCCCCTGCGCGAACCAGGTAGGCCTGCAACGTGCCGGATTACTGCATTTTTACCGTCTCTGAATCGTGTGACGCAAAGGGCTGAAGCGTGAATTAAACCTGTGTGTCTGGGCGTGCAGACCAAGGCGGTGGAGGTGCGCAAGGTGGAGTTCGTGGACGTGAGGGGCACGTCGGCGACGGCGCAGGCGATCAAGATCGCGTGCAGCGACACCGCGCCGTGCACGGAGCTGGAGCTGAGGAACGTCAACCTCACCGTGGTGGGCGGGGGCGCGGCGACGGCCTCCTGCTACAGGGCGTCCGGCAAGGCGGTCGGAGTCGTCGTCCCGGCCTCCTGCCTCGCCAACGGTGACCCGTGATGGTCGTCGAACGATGTGTTCCACCGTCTGTTTGTTTGCGTAGTCTGCCGGTGTTTTCGACATATACTAGCTTCCTACATAGTGCATGTGACATGAATTAGATATATCAAACGTCTTATCTTTTTTTTATTCTGGGCTCTGTTTTCACAATATGAAACATATAGTGCAAATGTTTTTGGCAACACTAATTGATTTGTTGCTCGCATGGAGGCGGTAATTGCCTTAG